ATGCTTGGCTCTGGCAGATGCTACCCGCACTTCTGGCGCTCGGAGGCGTTCGTGGAGATCCTCCAGCGGGCTGCTGCTGGTACCCGCACTGGCTCACCGTCACCGTGCTGGTCTCCAGACTGGCCTGCTGTGGCTGCGGCCGCGGCGCGTGCCGCGCTGGCCGAGGATGCAGCCCATCGTCCTCGCCCTCAACGTGCTGCTCATGCTGCTCTGCGTGCTCTTGGCCCCGCCGTCTCGCCGCTGGTGTCCCTGCTCCAGACGCGCCTTGCCAAGCTGCTCCCACGGCACGCCTCCCTGGTCACCTCCCTCCCGTGGGACTCAATCGCGAGCACGTTGGCATCCTGCCCCTGCTCCTGGGTGTCCTGGCTGCCCCGACGCTCTTCGACATTACGCCCGTTGCCGCCCCTTTCACCGCGCTCTTCGTCGTGCCCTGGCTCGCCCTCTACCTCTGCCTGTGCTTCATCGATGGGGGCTGCTTGAGCCGAATCTGCCCGCCTTCCACTTCCTCGCAGTCGCGTGCGCCGCCTACAACGCAGCCAAGTGTGTGGAGGGATGGCCGCTTTCGGACGAGTCCGCCTTTTCATGTGCCCTGGCTGGGGTGCGCTCGGCGGCGTTGGCTCGCCCAGTTGGGATCTCGGCCCGTGATCGCTTGCGGCTTCGCCCGCGCCGTACGTGTCCCTCGCCTTCGTCCTCCTCGGCTTCCTCTACGAGTTCATCTTCGTGTCGCTCGCCGAGGCTGACCCCGCCTGTCTTTGTCTCGTCTAGCCGATCTGCGTCGCCACAGCCGCCGTCGCCTGTCGGTGGCCTCACTCCTGCTGTCTCCTCGCCGTCGACGCCCCCTACTGAGATCGCTACCGACCCTGGGGATATTGAGTCGCGTGAGCAGGTATTTCCTTCTCAGATCCAGAGGTGGACCAGTTCGATCTCGATTGCCATTTCGTCGAGCTCGTCGCCTTCGCAGTCCTCATCTGACCGTGACCGCCCTGCTCTTCTGCCCGTCTCGTATCCCTCGCCTGGTTACTTGTCTTGCACCTCCTCCAATGCCACATCCCCGATTGCTGATCGCCCTCAATATGTGTTTGACTCCTCTGGGGACTGTAGTGCTCCCACGGTCCCCGCTGTCACGGAGTCTGCGGGCCGCTGTCCTCTCTCTCCTCGCCCCCCTCGTCCTCGGGTGAGTCTCCCTGGTGCTGCTGCTGCTGTCTCCCCCGACTCTCTTCCCCGCACGCAGCCTGCGTCCTCGGCGAATGCCCCCACGCTGCGGCTTGGGCGCGGCATTGGCCGCCTGCCGCCGCGATAGGAAGGCGTAACGAACCTCTCCTACGCTGGTCTCCTCCTCCTCCTCCTCCTCCTCCTCCTCCTCCTCCTCCTCCTCCTCCCCCTCCTCTTCCTCATCCTCCACGTCCCCCCTCCTCGTCCTTCCCCCTCCATGCCTCTGCCCTCCGCACCAGTCAACCATGTCGGCGCGCCCCTCACATGTTTTGTAGCCCCCATGGGGGGCTCCACCGGATGCCCACATGCCAACGCTCGCATGCGCCCGCCGCGCAAATTTGGGCACGCCCTTCACGCGTTTCGTGGCCTTTTAAGGATGCCCCACCGAATGCCCCAGTGGCTACGCTCGCATGCGGCCACCGCACCCATTCTGGCACACCCCTCACACGTTTGGTGGCCCCATAGGGAGCCCCACCGACGGCCCACATGCCAGCGCTCGCATGCGCCCACCGCGCCCATTTTGGCACACCCTTCACACGCTTCGTGACCCCGTAGGAACTCCACCGAAGGCCCCAGAGGCTTCGCTTTATGCGGCCACCGCGCCCATGTCGGCACACCTTTCACACGCTTCGTGGCCTCATAGGGAGCCCCACCGACGGCCCAAATGCCAACGCTCGCACGCGGCCGCCAAATCCATTTTGGCACACCCCTCACACGCTTCGTGGCCCTATAGGGAGATCCACCGAAGGCCCGGATGCCAGCGTTTGCATGCGCCCACCGCGCCCACTTTGGCACGCCCCTCACACCGGTCGTGCCCCCATAGGGAGCCCCACCGGCGGCCCAGATTCCAGCGCTTGCGTGCGCCTACCGCACCCATGTTGACACACCCCTTCACACGTTTCGTGGCCCCATAGAGCGCTCCACCGAACGCGGTACATACAACGACGGTGCCCATAAGTGCATTTGGTTGGGCCTTTCGCCAGGCTAATTCTCAAAAAAGGGATCCTTGCGACAGTGCGCGCGCAAAGGGCGTTCGAACGATTCCGACATGCGCGCGCGAGAAGCACGTGTGGTAAATTTGGATGAACGTGTTACAACAGTTATGGTTTCCTGAAGACGCGAGGGCGCGAGCGCAGGTTTTTCCCAACCATCCTGTGGTGTTGGGCCCTTGTTTTGAAGAGACACCGCCCCGCGTTCCTGCTCCTCGCGCCTCCTCCCCCTCCTCCCTCCCATCGCCGTCGTCATCATCATTGTTACCACCAGCATCATCGTCATCGTCATCGTCATCATCGTCGTCATCGTCATCGTCATCATCGTCGTCGTCATCATCAACATCATCGTCATCGCCTTCGGCTTCGTCATCGTCATCGTCATCGTCATCGTCACCATCGTCATCATCATCCTCATCATTACCATCACCAGCATCATTACCATCTTGGCCGTCAGCATCACCGTCATCGTCATCATCATCGCCGTCATCATTGCCATCATCGCCATCAGCTGCGGCACGCCCCTCACACGATTCGTGGCCCCATAGGGAGCTCCACCGAAGGCCCCAGTGGCTGCGTCCACATGCGTTCCTCGCCCATTTCGGCACACCCCTCACTCGTTTCGTGGGCCTATAGGGAGTTCCACCGAAGGCCCCAGTGCCTGCGTCCACATGCGTCCCTCGCTCATTTCGGCACTCCCCTCCCACGATTTGTGGCCCCATTGGGATTTCCACCGGACGCACCAGTGGCTGTGCTCACATGCGTCCCGCGCCCATTTCGGCATTCCCCTCACATGGCTCGTGACCCCATAGGGAGCTCCACCGAAGGCCCCTGTGGTTGCCTCCACCTGCGTCCCTCGCCCATTTTGGCACACCCTTCACACCGAAGGCCCCAGTGGCTGCGTCCACATGCATCCCTCGCCCATGTCGGCACACCCCTCACGCGCTTCGTGGCCCCATAGGGATTTCCACCGAAGGCCCCAGTGGCTGCGTCCACTCATGTCCAGCGCCCATTTCGGCACACACCTCACGCGGTTCGTGGCCCCATAGGGAGCTCCGCCGAAGGCCCCAGTGGCTGTGTCCACATGCGTCCCGCGCCCATGCCGGCACACCCCTCACTCACATGGCTCGTGGCCCCATCGGTAGTTCCACCGACGGCGCCAGTGATTGCGTCCACGTGCGTCCCGCGCCCATGTCGGCACTCCCCTCACACGTTTCGTGGCCCCATAGGGAGCTCCTCCGAAGAGCCCAGTGGCTGCGTCTACATGCGCTCCGCGTTCGTGCGTCACACCTCTCACACGCTTCGTGTCCCATGGGGGGTCCCACCGAAGACATGTCAGTGCTCGCATGCGCCACCGTGCACATGTCAGCACTCCCCTCACACGTTTCACGGCCCAACTGGGAGTTCCACCGAAGGCCCCAGTGCCAGCGCTCGCATGCGCCCGCCGCGCCCATTCTGGTGCACCCCTCACACGTTTCGTGGCCCCATAGGGAGCTCCACCGAAGGCCCACATGCCAGCGCTCGCATGTGCTCACCGTGCCCATTTTGGCACACCCCTCACACGGCTCGTGGCCCCATAGGGAGCTCCACCGAAGGTCCATATGCCAGCGCTCGCATGCGCCCACCGCACCCATTTTGGCAGGCCCCCTCCCCAGGCGTTTCGTGGCCCCACAGGGAGCCCCACTGACCCAAATGCCAGCGTTTGTTTTGGCACACCCCTCACACGCTTCGTGGCCCCACAGGGAGCTCCACCGAAGGCCCACAAGCCAGCGCTCACATGCGCCCACCGCGCACAGTTTGGCACACTCCTCGCAAGTTTCGTGACCCCCATAGGGAGCTCCACAGACGCCCACCGCGCTCATTTTGGCAACACTCTCACACGCTAGGAAGCTCCACCGAATGCAGTGCATGCAACGACGGTGCCCACAACTGCATATGGTTGGGGCCTTCGCCTGGCTGATTTGTTTTTGTTGCTTTTGTGTGTGCCTTTCTTTATTGATCGAAAATTCCTGTTGCGGGCCATGGTGTTTTACGTACCATGTTTTGCAAGGGTTATTGTCAATTGCTGTCTTTTTTGGTAAGCGAGTGTACGCGCATATGATTTGTTGCAGAGGATGGCGGGCGGGCGGTGCAGGGATTGCCTAGGATGATATGGGCTCATATTTAGGCTCAAGCCATTCAATGGCGGATTGTGACATTTTCGCCCGTCCCTACCCTGGGCCGCGGTGAGCCCGCCTCACATCCTTACGACTCGCACCACACCTGTCGCGCCAGCCATGGCGACCTCTCAGGCTGCCGCTGCTGCCGCTCCTTCTGCTGAACCGGCCGATGCTCCGTCGACCCCAGCAATGGCGTCGCCGGCACGTGCGCCACGACCATCGCGCAAGGCTGGCACCCTAGTCCACCAGTTGATGTCGAATAACGTGTGGCAGAAAATGCAGAGGGGCGATAAGAAGGCACGCGTTCGACAATGCCCAGATTCCCCCTACGCACCGCTGTTAGGACAGCAAGGAGTGGAGGGAGAGGAGGGAGATGGCTGGATGGAGATCCCAGCAGAGAGGGATGTGACGACCGGCCAGAGCGAGCGACCTTTCCCGCAGCCTGACTTCAACGCTGCTGCCGATGAGCCTGGCCCAAGTCGTCCGAGCAAGTAACCATGGCAGGCATTGCAGCTGTCTTGCAGGAGCAACTGCGTCTTCAGCTCTCACCTGTCACCTCCGCGGTGGACTGTATAAAAAAGGAGTTCACGAGGATGGATGGCAACCTCACGGACCTGAACACAACTTTATCCTGAAGGGCATGAATATGACAGATGTGCGGGTGGAAAAGCTTGAGCATTTGTTCGAAGAGACTGGTAGGAATCCCAACCTCGCCAACGATGCCTTAGACACCAACATCCGCGAGTACGTTCAGGAGTACATGGCGAACCAACCAAACTATACACACAACGCAGCTCAACCGGATTACGCGGGGACGCAGCACACCCATACCGACAAGCGCATGTTAACAACAATTATCGGTAATTTGGACGGCCTCGACGATTTAGTCTCGGCCACGACCTGGCTCCAGGACAAGATCGAGGCCATGAGCGGGCCACGACCTTCTAAGGTTTATGCCAAGGGGCAATACAAGGGTATCATTGTTGCAGAGTTCAGAGACCCTGGGGTTCGAGATCTTTGTGTCGAGCTTCTCCGACGTGCTGGGCTGAAGTGTGGTACCAAGCAAGTGTGGGCCAGCCAAGATCGTGAACCTTTCGATCGCGCTGCTCGGAGTCCTTGCTTTGGTTTGAAGCGGTTGTTCAGGACCGAGTGGTCGATCTCCGACACGGTGAGTGTCACGGAGGACCTCCCATATACCATCACGGCCGGCGGGGAGGAGGCGGTCACGGTGCACGTAGAATCATACATTCGGAAGTGCGAGTGGCATTGGGAATTGGAATCGTGACAGGCTCTGCAAAACCATCCAGCCGTCAAGGAATCGAAGAAGAAGGCCAATGACGTCGTGACCCGCGCCACCTCGGGCATGAAGGGCTCGGTCAAAGGCAGCGCCAAGGGGATGGCAAAAGGTGTCCCTGGGCGCCTTGGGGAAAAGGAAATGGCCCCCGGTGATGTCTCACCAGCATTGGCAGTCGGCACGATTGCCGTTATGAGCTCAAATCGATTGCGAATTCAACGTGTGCGTGCACATACTCATGCAGTCTACCAGCCCGCACTGGACGTGGAGACCCTGGTCTTCGAGGTGGGCCGCCGCATCCATGCAGACACCATGCCAGCGGTGTTGGTGACCCTGTAGTTCGAGGAGGCCAGTTGCAACCTACGGAAATTCGCACTCCTGAGTTTGACGAAGCTGCGGCTCCTGAACATGGACGGCTTGATCTCTATCTGAATTCTTGCTCTTCTCATCCAGGGCGCGAATACAGCGACATTGGTGCAGACCAAGACCTAGGAGAGTTTCGTTCTCGAGCCCATGAGTCTTCCTGGGGGAGGCCGAGGCGCGCATCCCAACCATGCAGATTACAGCGCATAGGAACATGGAACGTTCAGGGTATCCGCGGCAATTCTGCCATCAAGGTCGACGGGCTGCTGAAGACCATGGTGGAACAAACAATGGATATTATATATTCAAGAGACATATCAATCCCCCCGGATTCTATACGCGAGACGGTTTCTCTGTACTCTTGTCTCGGAGTGTGCACATGTATGACAGATATTATGCTGGTGTTGGCTTTATTGTGTCACCTCGAGTGCGCCCCGCAGTTGTTGCACTCAAGGCGCGCGGTGATCGAATATGCATGATTCGATTGAAGCGCATGGCGGTGCACTTGCCGTATTATCTGTTAGTGCCCCATTGAGCGGCATCGAACATGAAGCGAGGCAGCGATTTTCCCATGCACTTCAAGGTGCGTTTCGCCTTATGATCAGGCATGCCACTGCGTATACTCTTGGGGGCTTCAAAGCCATCCTTGGTCGAGTTCGCGTTGGGGAAGAAGAAGACGTCGGACCACATGTGTTCAATACCGTGCGCACGGCTAATAGCGACCCGCAGTCGAATCGGAACTTTTTGGTTCCGCTCTGCCTGGAAGGGTTCTTATCCTGTTCTCTTAAAGGGCCGGGCAGTGGAAAACGCCCCGGGCGGTTCCCCCAGGATCAGCCCCGCGGTTCCCCCAGTCCCCTGGGAGCTTTAGCTTTAGCTCTAGCTTTAGCTTAACTTTAGCTTAGCTGTAGCTTAGCTTTACCTTAGCTTTAGCTCAGCTTTAGCTGGGCTTTAGCTTAGCTTTAGCTTAGCTCTACCTTAGCTCTACCTTAGCTTCAGCTCAGCTTTAGCTTGGCTTTAGCTTAGCTTTAGAGTAGCTTTAGCCTCGCTGTAGCTTAGATGTACCTTAGCTTTACCTTCGCCTTACTTTAGCTTTAGCTTAGCTTTACTTTTGCTTTAGCTTAGCTTTACCTTAGCTTTACCTTAGCTTTACCTTAGCTTTACCTTAGCTTTACATCAGCCTTAGCTTAACTTTAGCTTAGCTTTACCTTAGCTTTACCTTAGCTTCACCTTAGCTTTAGCTTAGCTTTAGCTTAAGCTTAGCTTAAGCTTAGCTTAAGCATAGCTCTTTCCAGTTTTAGCTTAGCTCAATCTTAGCTTTAGATGAGCTTTGGCTTAGATTTAGCTTAACTGTAGCTGAGCTTTACTGCTACTACTAATCCTGCTTTCCTAGGGGCTCCAACTCCTAGGTAGGGTCGCACTGGGATAATACTACATTGAAGCTTGTGTTGCTTGCGGCCCCATGGTGGCCAACGCCTATTTCGACCAACCTGGAGGCCGGAAAATCTCCAATCGTGGTTTGGGCATACCACCAATGGCAAACGTAGACAATGACGGTTTTGGACAGGTTGATCACATATTGTGCCATCAAGGCAGCGCGGCAAGTATCGCCGATTGTTGGACCAGCCGAGAAGTTGCATTGAACCCGCAACATGTTCTCCTTTTTGCAAACGCGCTGATAGAGTTCAAAACCGAGGGCGCCCCGAAGAAGAATCATTCCCATGAGACAGTCTTGAAAGCTTGAAAGAACCCGCGACAAAGGGTGCATTCCTGCGCGCTTTCACGAGCGCAGCTTGCACAGACTACAGTAACTGCACGTTGGAGGGCGCCGCGACGGACATGCAGCGGGCGTCCCATAATGCAGCTTCGACTCTACCAGAGAAGGCCGTCAAGCCTAAACGCCCGTGGACAAGTCAGCGGGCGCTCGATTTGATCGAGGAGAGGAACGTGCGTCGGCGAAACGGGATTACATCGGCGAAAAGCACCTCAACCGTATGATCCGCAAGTCTGGGAAGCAAGACCGGATCGTGCGGCTGGATGAGTATCTGGCCGGAGGTAGTCAGGCGCCGCGCGACAAATTCGCGAAACAAAGTTGTTCAAACTTGCATGGGTTAAGAAACCAGTCGGCCATGTATCTGACGCCCGGGAACGCGCAAATATCATGACAGACAACTTCGAACTAGTGCAGCGGCAGAGCCGAGAGACCCTGAGCTACAACCATATGCTCTTCCACCACTGGGCGATACTTTACCTATTCGCACACATGGTTTAAAGACGCCCACATGTGGAAAAGCTGCGGGCCCAGATGAGACCCCCCCCCTTGAGTTTTGGATGGCGCCCATGTGCGATGAGAGCGCCAGTTGGGCGCTGTTGAATTTATGCCAGCAGCGTTGGGCGAAGAAGCCTATCCTGGTTTCGCGGAGGCGAGCAACAGTAGTTCTTCCATTCATGAAGGCGGGGGGGGGGGGGGGGGGGGGGGCTGCATTACCGGAGAAAAACATGCCCATATCGTTACTTCCAGTTGGCTATAATATTCGCGCCGCGCTCGCGCATCGGGGGCTGCTGCAAGGTGGTTCGGAATAGCGCGGGCGCCTCTCAGTGCGGATTCCCCCCGGGGCATGGGGCATCTGGTGCCCTCGCGCTTGCGGGGCGCATGGTTGATGCTGCGCGCGCGAACGCGGATCGGGGCCCATTGGCGTTGACGGGGCGCAGCCAGAATGAAGGTGCAAGTTTTGGCCAGATTCGGGCTACCTGCAGAGATCGTGGAGATGGTGCGTTTTATGTAGTCGGCTCGGTCCTTCGTCATCAAGGGCCGCGCTTGCACCTTTACTGAGAGGCGGCGGAACTCTGGAATCGCGCAGGGGTGCCCTGTATCCCCACATTTATCGATGGCAGTTCAGACCGCGATGCTGCGCGGCGCAATCGACTCGATACCTTTGGAGGAAGAGCTCGGGCACGTGGTGGCGCGGGATGTTCTGTGTGCTGACGACGCATTGTTCGCGTCACAGGTGCAATCTTATCTACAGGCAGTGTTGGGCGCCATCGCGGGGGATGGGCGCAAGCGCGGGCTGGGGCTCAACTGGAGGTGGGCTGCGCAGATGCAGATATCTACAAAACAAATGAGCACGACGCCGAGTGGTGGAGCGGCAGTTCGGGATGCTGTAGCTCAGCAAAGCACGGGCGCGCGCTTCTCTTGGATGAGGACGAAAATGCAGGATCTACGAGACCGTCGTTCTCTGCAAGTTGTGATATTCATTGGATTCTGTCTGGCTGTTGCATGCAGACAGATGCCGGCTCGATGCTTCCCGTTGCCGATGCTTGCGACGTACTCGTGGAACCCCGCAGTCATTTATTTCGCGGGTTGCGAATGCTAGCGTTCCTGGCAGGGCTGGGGCGAAGCGGCTGTCGGGGACATCAGTCCACGCCAGAAAGTTGCCGCGCGCGGACCTACTTCTTTGGCGAGGCGACTCGTCTGCAATGACGATGGTGCGCCGAAGTGATGGGCTCGCGAGCGCCGGCTTAGACGGCCAAGACAACAGCGGGCGCCGTCAGTCTACAATCTGTCGCAACACATCGGAGCACCTGTTGCAGTTTATGAAATTTCCGGTCAACCTCCTTCCTCCTCCTGCCCCTGTCGCGCTGCCCGTTCTCTGCCCCCCAGTCGGGCGCCCCTTTTTTCTGCATCGCAGCCAGGCGATCTTCTGCCGACGCGCCCCTTCCGGGTGCTCGGCTCTGAATGTGCGTGTGATGGGGCAGCGCCGCTTGCGCTCTGAGCTGCAATGCGAAACGGGTGGCGCGTTTTGCTTGGCAGGAGGTAGGTCCAAATGCATTTTCAGAAAATGAGAGTGCATGTTGCGCGCTCTAGATGTTGCGCAGCGCGCAGCCCAGGCGGTTCAACATATGTTGTGCAAGCTACGCGGTGCAGTCGAAGTGTTGCATGTAATTTTTGTTTGCAGTGAGTTGTTAACTCCACTGCTCGCGCAATCGTCCCGCCCGCCCGCCCGCCACTTGGTCTGCAAAGCCCGCGCGGCTGCACTTGCTGTGGGCGCTTGGCGTTTGCTTGTGATTCTCTGCGGCCGCGCTAGCCCGCGCATGCTCGCGCGCGCAGCGGCCTGCAAGCTTGGCGCGTCCGCCGCGACCGCGGTGGCGCTGACCGCCGGGCACTTCCCAGTGCGAGTTGGCGACCTGGGCGGGCGCGGGATCACTGCAAAGTCGACGGCGGTAGACGCGAGGATGCTCGCGGCGACGCTGGCGATGATGGCGGCAGCGACGACGGCGCGGCCAGCGAGGTCCGCCTAGTAGCACGCCGCGAAAAAAGGTTCGAAGAAACCGATGGTCTTCTTAAGAATTTGCAATGGCGCGGTCGCAGGCTTTATGTGAACAGCGATGTTGTAAAACCATGTGTTTGCATATGTTTTCGGGGCTCTCGATTTTGACGTGCTTGCGGAACCCGCGTTTTCTGAAGGATTTTGTCACGCGCGCGCGGCGACGCGACCGCGCGCACTTCGCCCCATTTGTTGCAGGGGATTATTGCGACAGCGCGCGCGCAAAGGTCTTTAAGAATTCGAGCGCGGGCGCGCGCTTATGTTTTGTTAATCCTTGTTGCGAAGCCAATTTTTGTCGGGACACTCGATTTTGAAGTCCTCACTGAAACTGGACTTGTTGAGCGATTTTGGCATGCGCGCGCGACTATGCGCCCGTGCGTTCTTCGCTCATTTGTTGCGAGTAATGGTGGGGAACGGATGATTTGTGATGAGCGAGTGCGTGCGCATAGTGTTTCTTGCAGCGGATGAAAAGGGGAGTGGAATTCTGGTTGAGTTGGGATGGTACGAATTCATGCTTAGGGTGGGCGAAGGGGCAGAATCGCACGTACATTGCGGTACGAAATTGTGGGCCGTGAACCCCAGAGGGGGGTACATGTTTATATCCTCTAAGAAAGGAGAGCGGATGTTCTGCACCCTATGTGGTGCAATCTATGTTGTGCTATCCACTTTGCGCAACCAATGCGGTGCAATCTGTGGTGCAAACTATATGGTGCAG